GTAATATTCGTTTCTGCCTGTCTGTGACGTTGTTTGAAAATCAGGGACTCTTCAGCGCATGCGCACTGAAAGCAAGACAAGTCAGTTAAGTGCTTTACATATGCTCACAAGACACATTGAAAAAATTACGCTTGCAAATCTAATGCGACAATCGAATAAATATTTTATGTACAAGGCACATTTTAACATACCTACTTTTAAGGAGTGAAATCAATAAGGGAATATATAAATATTTCATTTTATTGCTGCTATGTGCCTATAAAATTAAACACTTCGAGACATCTGTAAATGAAAAAAGAATTAAGACCCTACCCCACCCTAGACCAATTGTAAAAAAGAAAACAAAAAAGAAAGAAATTATTCAACAATACATAACGATTTAATCCATTTGCATAAATTTTATCTCAGTGAATAGAAGAACTGGAAAAATTCAAATGGAGAAATCATTTTTGCCAAATATACCGAAACAGAATTATTTTTATTTGAAATTCGTTTTTTACATTTGTACATAGATAAATAGACACAGAAAATATAACCGTAACATTTCTGTGCCAAAATACAGTCGCATTTTAAAATTAAAAAAATCTACGTACCTCTAATGATTCACTAAAAATAAGAGCATACCATAATGGAAAAAACAAAACAAAACAAAATAAAAAAACAAAGAGTAAAGACCAAAGTATTTTTTGATTATTTTATCCAATTTTTGAAACCTTTCTAGCACGTTCGAAATTTGGGTTTAATATTTTGTTTTTCGCAGGGGCAGTAAAGATTAGTATAAGGAATTTTAGCGTCTTTTTTACGATAAAAACACATTGATTTGTAAATTCTTGCAAAAATCAAATAATTGTCTGATTTCAATGAAACTTTCAGGACATATTCACAAATAAATGAAATTATTTTACAAACTATTTTACAATTTTGCAACCACACAAATCTTTGAGTTTAGATCCCTTTTTTGGATTACTCAACCAACGCTTTTATCCACCAGTATACAGCAGATGGAACAAAAAAACAAAAAAAAGAAAAAAAACTTGGAGAGTTTCGTTACTAAGAGGAATTAAATGAAACTAAGAAATAGAAAAAAAAGGCATGGCAAGTGGAACTAGGACAATCTACCCCCCCGGATTCGGTTTGAAATTCGAACATATATCACCTGAAGAAGTCCGGAGCGTACAGCAGCGGAAACGTTGTAAATATGGCAGTAAAGGATGAGGACAACAATCCGAATGATGTAAAGTGTAAATAGTCACATTACATAATCTCAAAAATGTAAACAAATGCAATGTCAATCGTCTTCTTATGTTTTCTTAATTCTTGTTCTTTTATTGTTCTCTCTCCTTTTGTGACACTGGTAGTATGAAATTAGGTTTGGTTTGTTTTGTTTTACGTCATATCAACTTCAATGGATTATTTAATGCCGACAAAAAAAAAAAATTTATTGCTGGTAATATTTTTTTTCAAAAAATCTATAGCTGGTAATATCTCCTTTTTTTTCTTTCAAAAATGTATTGCTGGTAATAATTTCTTACAAAATGTAGTTCTGATATTAAAACCTATTTTTACACTTTCATAGTGTTTTGACCCTAGTTTGGGAGGTTAACTATTTGCCCATAGTTGGGACCCTAACAGGTGCTACCACCCCAGGTCAGGGTGAAATGGGAACAAAAGCAATTAAGAGGTGTTTCCACGCTCCTCAAAATCTCCTGATCAGAGGACTTGAGTTGGACGTTGTTTATCGTCTTACCCAGGACGCGGATATAGTTTATCCTCTTACCCAAGACATGACATTAGGGTTAAAGGTCTTGAGGAATGTGAAAACGTAATTGTTGGCTGAAAAACGAATTGAGTTATTATTCGCAAAGCCAAGATGTAAACAATGAGATTTTAATCGATCATATTGAGGAATTTTCTTGACATCAGGAAAATAGGAATAATTGTTAAGCATAAAAGTTTCTTATCGGTGAAAAATTGTTGTCGAAGAATGTACTGTTTTAAATAACTAACCGCTTTGTTTGAGGGTCGGTGGTGTCATTTCTCCAAGAAATTGGAGAATTAATATAAATATTGATGAGTCCTGTGGTGCGGTAGGAGTCGGGCGAAATACATATAAACAGGGCGCTTAGACGACCCAGCAGTTGAAGCCAACTGTTGGAGTGAAAAACGAGACGAGTCAGGAGCGGACGAAGGAGCAGTTCAACCCCACGTGACCTGCTGCCGACAGAATTCCCGACCGATCACCTTGTGTATATTTTTAACCCGTTCCAAGTTTTAGGAGAGAAAGTTTCACGATAGAGAATTTAATGAGAAGGGTTAATTCGAATGTAGAACGACTATGAAAAAAAGATATAAAAAATCAACCCAGTGATCTTTTATTATTTGTTATGTTATTCATATTTTCGACAGCGAAAGCATTCTTTGTCATTTTGTAGGACGGTTCCGTCCCAGCTCGATTCAGCGCTCAAATACGGACAAAATTCAGTATTCACTTGTCTGTGATCAAGGAACACAACGTGGTGTGGAGCAGATGAAGGAACGAAGTGACCAGCAGATAACCATCAGTTGACCGGCGGCAGTAATGATCAGCGTGGAAAGGACTCGGGATCGAGCCGAACCAGCTGCGTTATACTTAATAGTATTCGCATATTCTCTCACCTTCAGCAAACCCTTGTATCTCAATGGCTTTATTGGGTGAAAGGATTAAAAAAATCATCTGTAAGGTGTGTTAATATCAAATAGTATTTACTGAATTTAGTCCGATTATCAATGCTGTTTTTCAAATTGTAATCATAGTCCTATAAGTTTAAAAGAACAAAAATAAATTTGTTACTTTTGTAAATAATTTGTCTTTATTAGTTCGAATAATAAGTATTTTCAGATTGTGCGTTCAAATTGACTTTTGTTTGCTATCAAAATATATAGGATTTTATCTGTTATGTTATGTACAATCTATATATAAAATTCTGTGACTTTCGTTAGTCTGTCTGTACGTCCGTCACACTCTCTAAAAATAGACATACATTGACCGATCGAAAACAAAGAGGTAAATGGGTACAAAGTACAATTGGTTTTACTAGGGTGCGTAACTTAGGATAAAAATATTTTCCCTTAATTTTTTTATTTTTATTATTTAACATATACTTCCACTATTTAAAAAAAAAAAAAAACAAAAAAGACTATTTAATGATGAAAATAACAACTACGTATTTAATAAAAATGTAATATTGTCTTTTGTATATCTTTTCTTTTTTTATATTTCACCGAATAGTTTGCGAAATTGAACGAAACTTAGAGTTTGTAAATCTTGACCCAAAATGTTAACGATACTGCGTAGATTTCAACACTCGTCAGCGCGTTGCAAAAAAGATTCCAGTGCACGAAATATACCAATGGGAACAAACCACTTGAATACGGATAGAAAATAAATTGAATGCCACAATGTTTGTATCAACTAATAATATTCCAAAAGGGAAACACTGGAACACAAGATTAGTGAAAGAACTTTTTAATCACGTGGATTAATATTACAATACTAGCGATTATCGTTGTTATTTTCTAAGCGTAGCTTAGATGTGGCACAAGGCCGAAAGTATGCGGCACCTAGTGTGAATCGAACTCACTTTGGTTGTAACTAATCTAGCGAGATAAGATTGCTAACCATTACACCACACCGAAATGCCCAAATATGGTTGTTAGTGTGTCACTCATTGAGACTACTTTGTGCCCGGCTTAAGGTGAATTTCATTCTCAATGGAAGAGTCCATGTTCAACAATGTTTAATACAGCGAAGGTTGGTCGTCTTTCTACACAATATATATATAAATAACTTAGATATAGTTTGATAGACGCGGAAGTTTCGAAACATAATTGTTAAAATGCTTGTATCAACTCGTCGTTCGGGTTAATAATATTCCAAAAGGAAAACACTGGAAACAAGATTAGTGAAAGAACTGTTTAATCACGTGGATTAATATTACAATATTAGCGAATATCGTTGTTAGTGTGCAACTCATAGAGACTACTTTGTGTCCTGCTTACGGTGAATTTCATTCTCAGTGGAAGTAATAGGTCCGTCACACCCTCTAAAATAGCCATAGATTGACCGATGGTAACCAAATTTTGGGGAGAAGTGAAACGGGTAAGAGGGTACAAAGTACAGTTTATGTTACTAGTGTACCTAGCTTAGTACAATAATTTTTCATTCATTTTTTGGAAAAATTAAGAGTTTTATTATTTAACATACAAAATACTCCCACTGTTTTAAAAAAAAAACAATTTAATATTTAAAATAACAAATACTTATTTAATAAAAATACAATATTGTTTTTTTCACATCTTTAAGATATTATATACAAGAATCCAGTTTCCAGTTCATCATGCATTTGCGAGAACGATAAACAAATCACTTCAAAAAGTTGAAATTGGACTCCAGAAAGAAATATTTATGCATGGCCAGTTCTATGTTGCATGCTCAAGAGTAAGAAATCGTAAGAATTTATTCTCCACTGTTAAAAAGGAAAAAATATATAAAATTAAATTAAATTAAAGAAATTAGGATTATTATTTTCAAAGTATTTTTCCAAACAAATTATTTAAATTTCGATTTCCAAACAATTATTTAAATTTCGATTTCCAAACATTTATCTAAATTTCGATTGGTTTGCGAAATTGAACGAAACGTAGCTTCAACAATACGAAATAGTGTAAGGATTTTAACACTTGTCAGCGCGTTGCAAAAATTTCTAGTTAATCAAATTATAACATTATTTTATGAACAAGGATATATTTTCAAATTTGTACGATAAGCATTTCGAGTCGTAACGCTATATTTTATTCCCAAGTAAAATTCTTCCTTTGTTCCTCAAATATTTATTTTTAGCAATAACAATAATAAAAATGTTATCATATAATCAATGATACATTTATACTTTAATTAGTTTTGTTCTTTTCTTATTTATTGATTCGTTTTTATTATTGACATTAAGGTAACAATGAGTCAA